GGTGCCGCACCGCGCGGCGGTGAGCTGCGCAGACACGAGGTTCGGGCCGGGCGCAGGGGCAGGGCTGCAGCTGCTGGCTGGTCTCCCATGCCTCTCTTAGCGAGTCCCGAAGAGGCCGATCGCGGGCCCCCTCTGTACCTCCCTCGGGGTAGAGAGAGCTCACGCGAGGTGTCTCTAGGCAGCAGAAGGGCGAGGTAGGAAGGATAACACCCCGGTTTTGCAGTTTTCTACAAACCTCTCCCCTCTCCTTGCACTTTGTTCCAATTTTTTTTTCGTTGTTTATTTTTGCAGTAGCAATTCTCAGTCTGGTGTCTTAGTTACGGGACTTGCCTCCACCCCACCCCACCCTGGCACCCGCGCGCCTCCCGGTGCCGGAGGGCTCTACTGTCCTATTGTCTTTACCCCAGCCCAGAGTTGCCTCCTGTTCCTGTTCTCTTGCCATCACAATTTGCAGTGTCGGTCCCACTGAAAGAAAACCTCGCCCCTTGCCTTAGAGGAGTCTATGCGGATCGGCGCCTCAGCACCTAGCTCCTGGCCCACACGCCCTTATCCCGCCGGGAGAGGAAAAGTTCCGTTAGTCGGCTATTATTCCTCTCCCTTGGTCCGGCTGCTTCAGCCCTGCGTGCGCCCTGGGGGCGCCTTCTCTAGGAGCCTCCGCACTTTTCACGCCTTCGGGAGATTGCCGGCCAGCCTTTCATGGAATCAGTAGTAGTAGACTCCTCCGCAAAAGGAAGCACCTGCTCCAGGCAGGTCGCATGCTCTCTCGCCACTCTGCGCCGCCGTTCCCCAGCCCGACTGACCGCCTAACTTTCCTGCGGCATTTGTTCGGATGATGCCCCGAGGCCCCTCCCGGGCCGCTAGCCAGGTCCTGGGAAGACACGCCGAGCGTCTCGGCCACGACGGCGGTGCTGTGAAGGGACCAAGCCGGGGTCCTGAGTCTGCCCCCACTGACAGTGGGGTCCCGATGCGGTTACAGTTAAGGAGCGCGTCCGCCTTTACTGGGGGTTAGGGGCTCCCGGGAAGTCCGCCGGAGGGATTGCGCACCAACCAAAGCTGGGGGTGGCAGCCGGTGGCAGCTCCGAAAAGTGCGGGCGCGGCTCGGAAGTGCGGCTGCGCCGGGGGCGCCCAACGCAGGGACAGATGGTGCAGATCACCCTCCCTCAATGGTCTTCATGGGTCATGGCCTGGCGTGCTGCGAGCACCAGGGGCGGGACAGGGCCGGCGCCGGTGGTCTCTTACCGCCTTCTCCCGCTATCCCCTAGAGGGGTGAGGGCCGCGGCCGCGCGGAGCCCTGTCCATGGTGCGCCGTAGAGCGGCAGCCAGCCCCATCCGCTCTACGCTCTCCTCCCCCTCCTCCCCC